AAAAAAAATGAGCCAGAAAATCCAACCCGACCCGACCCGAGACGGGTTAGGGTTGGCTCCCGGGTTGGCTAAAAAATATGGCTCGTGAATTGGCTTGAAAAAATAGCTCAAAAATTGGCTCGCGGGTTGGTTCGTTTTCAGCCTATTTAAATAACTCTTTGATATTAATGCATAAGCTATGTGGCTTCCATCAGCTTAAACAAAACGTTACAAAGTGAGAAATACAAGCAAAATATATTTTTTTTTTTTGGATTACATCCAGGTATCCTCACAGCCGATAGCCATGAGACTAATCCCTCGCCCCCGGTCAGCGCACAAACCGATAAAGAGCTGGCCACGGAATGCTTTCCATTCACAAGAGTTGGGGTTCGAACCCCCAACCACTTGCTTAAGGGACAATATGCTGAACCATCACGCCCACCCACGAATTTGCATCAACATCAAGAAACAATCAAAACGACTTGATACCAATTAGGTAAGATATTTGAACCAAACAGCGTCAGCACAACCTAACAATATAAAATTGACAGGGATGTGAGAAGATTAGGGACTTAGGTCTAGAGAAGGAAGAAAAATGATTACAGTATGTGTGGATTTTGTCCATTTTTATATATTATATTTTGTATTTTTTATAAAAAAAAATATATATCTCAACCCGCGAGCTGGCTCGTTTGACCCGCGGGTTGGCACGGGTCGGGTTGGCAGCTCATTTTTATCAACCCAACCAGGCTCATTTTTGGTGGGTTACGAGCCAACCTAACAGATTGACACGTTTTTGCCAACCCTACTGGGGAACAGAAAAAAGAATCAATTTTTTTTGCTTTTTTGTTTCCGAGCACAAAATGAGAAACACTTATTTCTCTCAATCACTCTCCACCTCTACCGTCATCACCACCACCACCATCATCTCGACACGACCGCCGCCACCGTCGTACCACTAGTGCCGTCATCACCACCCCCCGCCACCACAATGCCACCGCCACCTCCACTCATTACTACCACCATGTCACCGTCACCACCACCACCACTATCATCGTCACCGTCACCACCATCATCGCAACCACCGCCATCACTACGCCACCGCCACCACCACCGTCACCAATCACCGCTACCATTGCTGCAGCCACTACTGTTACCGTCGCCACCCACCGCCACCATCATCACAGTCACTACCGTCACCATCACCACCGTCGCCACCAACCACCACCACCACCGTCACAGCCACCACTGTCACACCACCACCACCACCACCACGCCATCGCCACCACTACCATCACAGCCACCACCGTCACCACCACCATTACCACTGCCACCACCACCACCACCACCATGATGGCATCACAACCACCATCACCATGCCACTGCTACCATTGTCGTCGCCGCCACCAATGCCACCATGATGGCATCACAACTGTTGGGTATGGCTCATACTTCACATGATGATGTTGGCCCTAATTGTCGGGGTCAGCAGAAAGGCAACTGGAGGCTAGGTAATGTTTAGGCCTCTGTTTCTATTGTAATTTTCTTAGCAGTTTGGGCTTGGGCCCATGAATAGCTGCTGTTAGGGTTTATTGTAATCCTATTTATATTTGCCTTGTAAACCGAGAGACTTGTAACGAGTGGCGGTGAGGTGATTATAGTACAGACAAGCTGGACGTAGCCTATATTGGGTGAACCAGGGTAAATCATCGTGTCAATCTCTCTACTCTTATCTCTTTTTCTGTTTTCTCGATTCTGTGTGATTGTCGATTTCCAACAACAACTACCATCATCATGCCACCGCTACTATTGTCGCCGCCACCAACCACAACCGCCACCACCATTGTCGTAGCCACTGCCTCACCTCCACCACCATCATCGTTACCACTACTGCCGCCGCTGCCACCATTACTACTGCCATCACCGCAGCCACTATTGTCACAACCACCTCCACCACTCCCGCCGCCACCACCACCACAACCACACCATATGAAAAAGAAAGTGATGATACAAAAAAAATTTATATTTAATAGGAATTATTTTTTATTATATTATTTGTTGTGTTATCAAACATAATTCACATTCTCGAAACAAAAATAAAACATGTTATGAAACCCATTTTTTTCTCCGAAACTGTTCTAAGGCACAGAAATAGAAAAGAATTGTTTTTTTTCAAAAATAGTGCTAGGGAATAGAATGGTTATCATGCACACCCTTAGCTTCTTAAAATGCAAAACGTTATATATGAAAGTTGTCAAACTCATAATTCAATTTCTTGCTTCTTTTTCAACAGCCTAGACAAACAAAATGTAAATATATTTATTGACATTAAATTTAGTTTCTACAGTAATAGAAATACTCAAAATATATACATGAACGGAAATACAATATAATATAAAAATTCAAATTAATTAGAATGACTACAAAATAAAATTAATTTTATTTATTATATATTGATATTAATATTCAAATAGACATCAAATCTATTTGAGAATGATTAGAAAACAAATTCAATTTTATCATATTTTAATTTTTTTCTCCAATTTTCAAATCTTAATTCAACTATTCATATCTTATTCATTTGATTTTATATATTGATATTTAGATAGACATTAAATATATTTGAAATTGACTAAAAAATATATTATGTTTAAATCTACTTTTTACAAATACACTTCTTATATATCTTTCCATTATTTCATATTTTTATATTTTTTAAACTAATTTAATAAAATTACCATTTAGGAAAGTTAGGGAAAAAAAACATAAATAACTCTTGTAACAATATGATGCTACGTATTGTTAAGTATGACTGATCAAACATTATAAATATAATATTGATAGTTATTTTTGAAAAGTGAAGGGGTGATCACTCCTTGACCTCTTTTGGAGTGAAATCAAGTGAAATTCTTTGTCTCTGGATGCTCAAGTGTGCTGAAAAACTTGACGATGGAAAAATTCTCTGTATTTGGGCACTTGAGCACCCAGTTGAGCGCTTGCGCGTATCCCGAAAACAACATGCACATAGTTTAGTAAAATTAGCATAACTCGAGCTACAGATCTCCGATTTGAGCGTGGTTTGAACCCACGTGAAGCTAACAGAGAGATCTATAACATAGTGTGAGATGAGAAGTATAGAATTCCTAATTTAATAAAAAGTGAAGATAGTTTAGTATTGAACTAGAACAAAATAAGAATGAGATATTAAGCTTAGTTTTAATTATTCCCCAATGTCATACAGTTATGGTCGCGTAACTGGTTATTTTAAATTCGGCGTTGTTCAAAAGAAAAAATAAGTTAGGTTTTAAAAAGATAAAGAAAAATCTATCCTGATTTTTAATTGAACCAATGTGATTGTAACTGTGCTTAATATCATAAATCAATGATAACAAATCGGTTCTAGAACGGGTGTTACAGTAGTGTAGTGAGAACTTATCATATAAATAATCAATTCAACACAAAAACTTAAAGTATTTATTGAATGTCACTTTAATAATTTTATAATATTTTTTTTCAAACATATAGAAGAGTTAAATTGAAAAATAAATTAAGCATAATGTACTAAAATATTTAGAAATGAAAATTTTAAATACTCCTACTAACCTATGTCAAGGATTAATGAAAATACAAAAAAGACCAATACAATATTTTAAATATATTAACCTTTGGCCGCTCAGAAAATTTTTTTGACTCCGTCCATGCTAATGTGGCACCACCTAGTATTTATTAGCTAATATACTTATAACTTATGTAGCTGAATTTTCAGTTGAGCATTAAATTAAACATTTAATTCATTCAGTTTTTCTTATCACACAAAAATAAAAAAGAAGGTATTTTCTCCCAATAATTAAAGTTGTATAAGAGTAGGATACCAAAAAAAAAAAAAAGTTGGATAAGAGTAGGGAAATTTAGCAATCGCAAAATATTCATGAGCCATCAGCATTTGATGAATCTATTAATTCTGACAGCATCTATCTATATTCTATCATAAAATTGTCTTGAGAATTATTTAATATCATCAAATACATATTAGTTTTAAAAGAAAATAATGGAATAAAGATATTTAAAAAGACAAAGTCTGAGTGCAGGTAAAAAATAAAATTGATCATGTAATAGTCATAGCATATAGTATAATTATGTTAAAAAGTGAAAATGTGTTTTAATAAAAATAATAAATATAAAATATAAAATAAACATTAGGTTAATTTTTTAAGAAAATATTAGAATAGTAAAATAAAAAGGAAACAGTATTATACTGTAAGTGTGTCAAGAAAATTGAATCTAATAATAATAATGATAACATATAGTGTGTTTTTGAATTTGACAGAAATATTATAGTATAATATTGTAAGGAGTGTTTACCGAAAAAAAATTGTAAGGAGAAAAAGATTAAAAGATTGAAAAAATTAAAAGATCGTTTTTGATAAATTTAATAAATATTCAACATAAAATTACTCCATCTAATAAGTAAGATAATGTTTACCCAAAAAAAATAAGTAAGATAATTCATTTCATAGGTAATTGTGGCATTTGTTTCTAAAAATATAAGGAAGCTTTTATAATTTTTATAATAAATGAAAAGTCTATGAATAAACTTAAAATACATTAACAAAAAAGAGTGATTTATTCAATATATTTTGAAAAGATTTCCTAAAATCGTGTTATTACTGAATGTAAAACTTATACGGAAAGCTACTCTTTTTAAAAATAAAAATAAAAATGTTGTAACTTCTTTCTAAAACACTGGTAACTTCCGTAGAATTCCCTATGCGTTGGGGGAAAATTGATTCCACACAATAGAAGTGTGATGTAATCCATGTGCCAAAAAGCAGCATTTTCCATTATTCCAGTTCTTAATAGGGGGAAATGTTGGACAGTGTGTTCCAATTCTGAGTTGGGGTTGGGCCAAGCGACCCGAGCGAAGGCTAAAGCTGCTTAGCCCCGAACACCATCCAGATGCAGACATCATAACCACCAGCATCAAGCCATAAGGGGTGGGGCTGCTTGATTGAGCTAGTAGAATGTGAAAAGTTACAATATTTGCAATAAAAATGACTTTATACTTTGTTATATATAACAAAACTATGTTACAGTTACAGTAGAAAATAAAATTCACTTCAGTAAGAAGTCATTTTCATTGGGACCTCTCTTTTCAAGCTCATCACCTACTCGACCAAGCAAACCCATAATCTCATATAAACAAACAGTATGGTGCAATACCTACATAGCAAATTAAGCCACCTTAACCAGATAGAAAAGGGGAAAGAGAGGTAATGTTGGGTATATTAATAATATAATCCAATAGTATGTTCACATATAAGCCCAATAAGGGAAAGCATGATTATTTGGGTCCATATGAGCTGGAGCCCAATAGCTTGTATTATATCTAGGGTTTCCTAAGCTGGAGGTAACACTGTTGAACATTCCAAACTTGATGTCTCTTGGTATAATACTTCAAGCACCTCTAAACCCTTCTCTCTCAAACTCATAACCTCCAACAGGTAACACCCAACCATTATACAACATGACAATCACAAAAGCAGCAACTTTATCTGTAAGGATTTGTTTCGGGTAACAAAAAGGGTAAATAACTAAGTAAATATCTACCTTGAAGATAACCTTCCCTTCATTAATGAAATCCAGAGCCACTATCACTATATAGTATATACAGATCAATTAGTGAACAATATTTGGATTTTTATTAGTTACATTAAATTATACTCCATTAGTCAGTACCAATCCCCAATAAACTATGCCTTGGGATGTATGGAAGAAAGCCGAACTCAGTTTAAGACAAAATGGTACCTTGAGTCCACGTAGCTCTCGACATCCCAGAGAAAAGAGCCAAAAGTCACAGCCTCTAAAACAAGTCTCTTTAAACCACCAAAGCTAATTTTGATGTTTTCATCCTTTGAAGAATCGATTGCCCCCTCAGGTGTTATGACGATTTCAGGTCTTCCAAACAATGCCTCTGTGTGCTTCTCAATAATGCTCACAGCCTCTTTGGATCTTATTGTTGCATATCTCTGTAGGGTATCACCGTCAAAGGACATCACATAGTTACGCAACCTGGTCGGCTTTATACCATAGCCAAATCCACCAGGACTGATGTCACCACCAGACCAGGTAGATAATTCAGGATGAGACATAACTTGAGAAGCTCCCTCTCCACTACCAGGCCTTGTATCATCCATGACAGTTTGATGAACACTATTCTCTTCTGGAAGAATTTTCATAGTCTTCTCCAGTTGGAACCTTTGGTCAACTCGCTTGAGAAAGTAACCATACATCACTGATGCTGCATAGACCTGCCCTACCCTGAGTTTGCTGATTTGAGCAATGGATGTTAAATCTCCTACTCTGTTGCCCAGAATGAGAGACAAGTGGTTATGGATCATCTCATATGCTTCAGGTGAGTGAAGCTGCTCAAGTTTCCCATTGGTGTTAGGCCACGAATCAACTATACCAGATGTATCAGGGGTTATGGAGGGTATCAGAGAAATATTAGCATCCATGAACTTCTGCACCACCAGAGCGTACAAGATCTCTTCCAGAGCTTTCCTCCTTTCATTAGCCTTCACCTCGGAAATTCTCCTGAAGTTTGGAAGCAAGAACAATGGTCAACAGCCGACTTGTTTTAACACAAACACTTTCAGATTTAGAAAACAGTGGAAAGAGGTATTAGAATAAAAGGATTCAACCGTATGGAATAATTGATGATTGAATATTGTATTATTGACTACTGATATCCTTGTGGAATTAAGGAAAACAGTATGAGAAAAGAAAAATGAAAGAAACAATGTTCCAAGGCTTTCCGTGTCCCAACTCCCAATTTCTAACCTCTCAATAGGCTTCTACTGTGCTCCATACCCCCCCCCCCCCCCCCTTCCTTTCTCTTCTATTCTCTCTTTCCATCTCCCCTATTTATTAAATATTCCCCATTAATACAGGATTACCCATGATTGATACCCATAATACATAATCTCCCATGACTGATACCCATTCATTCGACAAAAAGTGGCACAAAAATTAAATATGCGGCACCAGACAAATTTTTATGATACTATATAGTAAAATCTAAACTGTAAAATACATAAAAATATTTTGTAGTTTAGAAGCCACCAAATGGATTTCCTTTCATCGAAATTATAACAATAAGCAAGAATGTAACTTCCGAGATTTATTAGCAACAATGAAATAAAATGGGCAGAATAACAGATATCATCACGTATGCAACAAACCTGTACAAAACTAAATCAGTGCCTGAAGCAGAAGGATCTTCCTTTTGTTTATCAGCATCACGGTCAGTTTGGAGCTGCTCAAGCTGCTGGTCTACCGCAGCAGGCACAAGATGCGGGTGATTTATCAAAATCTGAGAAAGAAACTGCCCAATTGGGGATTCCAGCCGAAGAGGAGCAATCTTGGCACTTGATTCAGATGAGTCCCGAGACGATACAGCTCTGACTACTAAGCCTCTTCTACTTCCAAAAGAGAGCCTCCTATGACCTTGCTTGGGGATAGATACAGAGGTGCAAAGCTGCCAAACATGAAGAACAATCAGAAAGAATGAAACTAATCTCTTTATGCGTGCAATTGCAACTTAATTGGTTGGACTTTGAAAACTCAATTCATTAAAAAAGCATTAAGGCGTTCGTTCCAATTCTAAACAGTGGGTTCCTAATTCCAAGCGAAATAAACTACCGACAGACAGTCAGATATTATCTCAACAACCATCAATCCATCATCATATCAAGCATAACAAACAGAACACGTAATCACAGCAACTGCGATTTCATACCTTACCGGAGAACCGAAAATTGGAACCAAACCGAGCTAAGCAGGGTCCATTCCTCGGTCTTCCTAATACGATCGAAGGAGTTGCCGGTGATCGGACGGCGGTCGCTGCTACGTCCATTTCCAGCTCTAATAGGCAAACAAAGGTTGAATCTACACATGAAATAAACAAATAAACCTAAAAGAAAGACAGAGATAACAAAGAAAAAACAAACAAGAGAAAGCATGCAAACCTCTGAAGAAACCCTAGAGAGAGAGAGAGAGAGAGAAACGATATCGATGACTCTATTCTATTCCGACGGGCGTTGATCGGAGAACTTGTGCTGCCACGTCAAGTATTTATGTGGCGTCTCCTGTGCTTCTCCTTCTCGGACCCACTCATAGTCAAATGACCATTCAGCCCCAATACATTTTATAAAGTATAATACCTTCTTTTTATGTTATTTGAATTATTTATTTGCAATTTTTTTTTTAATAACATAAAAGTGTTCTCCCACCATCATTTCTAATTATTTTGCTAGAGTATGGTCCTACCTAGCTCTTATTGGAAATTTGGAACAAAATATGCATTCGACCACTATATTTATTTGCATTGGAACAGAGAGTATATTTATTTTAATTATTTATTTACATCTTTACCATTAAAGTAATAATCGGCTAAAAAAATTCATTAAAGCCATGGAACCCATATATCAAGTATCAACTGATAATAAGTGGCTGAGTTAAGTCCGTGTTACTAAAATTATGAATTTTAAATTTTCATTGAGAAATTAATTTATATCTATATATTGCTGCAAAAGATAACTAATCTATGTCTACATTATTATAAAATTAATTTTACTTGTGATGTTTCATTTAATTTAAAATTTTACTAAATTTAAATGATACACTCTTCTCCTTATATGTATCAACTATCTTCATTTTACTCTTATTTTCTGATTTTAAAATGTAAAATATTTGAATGAAATTTTAAAATAAATAAAGTTAAGAAATAAGAAACATTTTATCACATCCACGATTAAAGAATAATGCGGCAAGAGAAGAAAAAAGTGCAAATAGGTAAATTGGAGACGAGGAGAAAGAGAAGATAATTTGGGTTGAAAGGGAGAGGGGTGAAAAGGAGAAGAGAGTTCGCGAAATGTGTTTTGGTGAGGAAAATGAGACCCTTGACCCTAAATGGGCCAGTGGGCCTGATTCCTGAGGCTGATGTTAACTGAGGACTGAGGAGATACTTACGTGTTCAAACTTCAAACTTGTAAGTGTGGGGCAGGGTAGGGTCTCAATTTTGTGGTGCACAATTGGACCATTGATGCAGCAAATTTGTGGCTTCATGTTACCCGTGTCATGTGTTTCAGCATTTGTGCCCAAAATGTGTCCACCTCTTGCTATTTTATGCCTTTCACTTTTCAGACTTCAGTTGCCCTATACATTCCTTGATCACTTTGAAAATTGATTTACGTGCAGTTTTTGAGAAACCAAAAAACGTGTTGGGTAAGCAAGTATATACCACCAATAAACAAATATACAAATATGATTAAAATTTGAAGTGCGGATAAAATCTCTCTTACTTAGCTCAAGTTACAGCAAGTCACTTCCAAGACAGTTTGATTTTGGTCCATTTTTGCTTTTACTAGATTACCCTTTCTCTTCCCGCACCAGTTCCATAACCTCATTTATAATTAGGAATATGATTCAGAATAATTAACAAAAATAAATAAGAGTTTAATTGTATAAATAATTTTAACTAAAATACATAACATTAATTTAGTTCTAAAAGATTGTTCCAGTAACATTAAATTTTCAAGTTAATTTCAATACTCAAGTTATAATATTTACCATTTCAAACCAGATCGACACTGAGGTTTATGTTAATTTTTTAAAAAAAATTGGAATGCCCTGGTTGCGGAAGTGCAGGGTGCTTGGGAATGGCCTCAACCTGGATCGTAGCTTCCGACGTGTGGTTCTTGAGAGACGGACTTATAGCTATAGGTAGTCACTTCTGTTACGTTTTTATTTTGCTTCCATCTTCAATTTTGAAGCCTATGTACCTTTCTTGGATCGTGGCCTACTTGTTCAACTAATGGGCTTCTTTAATTGAACTTGCATTCATAGGCCTAAAAGGTTAAGTACTGGGTTAACAACTCTGAAATTCTTAGCAATTAAGGTGGGAGAAGAACAAAATATAATATCGGTTTGGTTCAACTTATTTTGTATTACAAATGTTTTATAATCAAAATTCCATTAAGAGACATTTTGAAAACAAAAAAAAATGGTTTTTCTTAAAATTTAATAGAAACATAAAAAGCTAAAGAATTTGACATGAAAGATCTTGGTATTATTGATTCCATTCTTGGTATAAAAATAAACTTTAAAAGGCTATTCATCTCCCTTATCCAAATTTATTATTTTAAGCAATTATTTTCTTCTGAGGAAAAAACGAGTATAAACCGAGTAAAACACTATGCGATTATAATAAAGCAAAAATATAGGGATCACTCCATATCAACTAAAGTATTTGAAACTTATTGGTACTCTCATAGATGACAAAATAGGCTGACCCGCCTTCAATTTGCCAAAAACATGTTGACCTGTCATTAGATGATGGATTGAAAATATCAACTCACCTTGTTAAGGTAGTTTGAAGAGTTGATCTGCCAACTCGCCAAAAATTTATTGGGTTGACCCATTAATCCGCCAAAATATTAATTAAAAAAATATTCTCACATGTATAAAAACAACATAAAAGCCTCCGAATAATTCCCAAAATAATTAAAAAAAATAAAAATAAAAAAATAAAAATATTTAGACCATAAAAACTTGTACCCAGATCGTCAAAATAATAAAAACCAATCTCTCAATCAAACTAATCTTCATAGATAGATTACTTTTTGCGTGTGATCCAATACCCGGAATCATTCAGAACTCCCAAAGAGAACTCTAAAAGAAAACAAACCCAGAAAACCCAAAGTGCAAGAGAATGGAGAAGAATTTGCAACGGTGTGTGGTGAAAAATTAGGAATTGGAAGATAGATAGTGAAATAAATCGCGTACGGAAGCAAAGAGAGTGTTTTTCGCTATGTCAAGACAAAAATAATAGGTGTTGGGCTCGAAGGAAGGGCATGCAAGAACTGAGGGAGAGTTGAACAACAGAGTTCGATGACGCTACTGTGCTTAGGGACTTAAGGTTTCAAAATGAAAAGTTGGGAAAAATAAATAATATATTTTTTATAATTTAAAATTAGAAAATCCTTAACCTAAGTGTTAACCCGCCCCTAACTTGTTTTAACTCGCTTATGGGTAGGGTGGGTTGAATGTCATAGATGGATTGACATGCATAATTCAACCCGCCCCATTTTGACAAATTGACTTATCGGGTTCAATCCATTTTGGCAAATTAACTCATGTATGCTATAGAACTTGAGATAGCTTTTATAGTAAGCATGTTGAGTTATTTCATTAGTAATTATAAGTCTTATACCTATATAAGAATAATAAGTCTTACAATAAATATTGTAAGACTTAATTAATTAATAAACACTAAATGTGCGAAAATCAACGGTTAAGATTTGGTATAAGGCTTATTATTCTTACGCCGGTGTAAGTTAATCCTATCTCAATATACATATATATATATATATATATCTCAATATGCATCTAGTGTCAATCCTATATATATATATATAGAGGTAGGATCCTTTGACACCGGTGTCAAATTTCAATTTTGACACTTCGTCTCAGAACCGTTAGATAAAAAAAATCAATGACTCTGATTTGCAAGCATGTGACACCATTGATTTTTTTTTATCTAACGATTCTGAGATGAGGTGTCAAAATTAAAATTTGACACCGGTGTCAAAGGATCCTGACTCATATATATATGGTCAGGATCATTTTACACCCGTGGAAGTTACATTCTTAATCTTGTCGTTAATCTCACTTTTATCTAAAGGCTATAATTTTTTAGTTATATGAGCCATTGGATATAAGTGAATCAATAGTCAAGATTACGTGTAAAATTGATGTAAAATGATCCTGAATATATATATGTATGAGGTAGAATCCTTTGACACTAGTGTCAAATTTTAAATTGTACACCTCATCTGATAGCAGGTAGATCAAAAAAGATCAACGACTCTGATTTGGAAGCATGTGACACCATTGATCTTTTTTTATCTAACGACTATCAGATGAGGTGTTAAATTTGAAATTTGACACCGGTGTCAAAGGATCCCACCTATATATATATGTGTGTGTGTGTGTGTGTGTGTGTGTGTGTGTGTGTGTAAAATGATAGCCATTAAATAAAAGTGAGATTAATGGCAAGATTAAGAATGTAACTTACACTAGTGTAAAATGATACTGACCCTATATATATGGTATCAGAGCCTGATGGGGAAGTAGGAATATATGGATAGATCTATTGGATTAGAAGATTATTGATTTGTTCTTCAATAGATGGATCAAGGTTCAAGCAAAACTTTGATCTTTTGTTGAACTTCAGGCTGCTTTAACTGATTTTCAATATTCTTAAAAGAAATTTCTTCTTTAAGGAAATTGATTTGTTTTTGTTTGTAATGGATAAAATTCAAATCTCTTATGATGGGTTTCTTAAGAAATTTAAAAACAATTGGTTTGTCCAAATGATAAGTAATTATACCCTCATCTGTGATAGTTAGAGGAAAAAGAGATTTGATGAACGGAGTTCCAAGAATAACTCCATTTTTGAGGTTTTTAACAAGGAGAAACAGTGTTTCAACTTTTAAATTATCATTTTCAATGATTGCTTTAGGAAGTTTATAATTAACCTGAAGTTTTGAACCACTAGCAGTACTAAGCCGTTCAGAAGTCTTTTCAAAATATTTAGTAGGAATTAGACCTTCTTGAATGCAGTTTGAATCTGCCCCTGTGTCAAACAGAGCTTCAATTTCAAGGTCAAAGTTACCTACATTGAGTTTGATTGGGATATAGAATTTTTGAATTGTTAATTGATTAATTAATCCTAAAAATTCTTCGTCTTTAAGATTTTTATCTTCATCTGGTTTAGACAGAGTATTTTCCATACTCGTTCCTGTTGATTCTTCATTTTGTAATTGAAGAAGGATGTTCTGATGAGTTTGTTGTTGTTCTTTGATTTGTTTAACTTCAGTTTTGAGAATATTGATCTCATACTGAAGATCTTGGACAGTTATAGGTTTGACAGTAATACTCTTTTCTAGTTTTTTAAGGGTATCTTTAAGATTAAACTTATTAGGAACCAACAACTCTTTAGATTTAGAAGAACTGGTTTCCAATGATGATTTTAATTTTGCTAAGTAAGCTTTCTTTTCATGGGGATCACTGATTGAATCTATGACTTCGAACAAAAGATCTTGTTCTTTAGTCAAGACATTAATTTCTTGCGAGGATTGTGAGTCCTCACTAGAAGATAGATCATCTTCATGAATTTGATTTAAATCTTCTGAGGATTCTTTTCCACATTTTTCATCAGAGGATTGGATTAGAAGATTATTGATTTGTTCTTCAATAAATGGATCAAGGTTTAGGTTATTTAGTTTTTTCTTAAGCCTACAATATTTACTAATATGTCCAGGTTTACCACAGCTGTAGCAAATAGTTGGCTTAATTGGTTTAGATGTATTTTGTGATTTATTTGTTTCAGTATTTGGCTTAGGATTTTCATTTTTAAACCTTTTATTGTAATTGGGTTTCTTACGAAAATTCCTAAAAGTTTTAACCTGTTTTTGTTCCTGTTTTTTATGTTTTTTATGTTTTGTAGTACAAGGCAGACCAAATTGTTCACAAAATGATCCTAGATCTTTACGATTTTGAGTCTTTTCTTTTGCAAGTTGACGTTGGATTTTATCATCTTGACAGATTTTTAAAGCTACCTTTTGGATATAAGCAACTAATTGTCCATAACTTAATTGCTCATAAGGGATATCTCCAGTTAGAGATTGATGACGGATTTTATCCCTAACTTTGTCTCCTAAAGATTTTGGAAGACCAGCTAAGAATTTTTCTTTCCAGAAAGGTTGTTGACTATCATCTCAGTGTAAACCCTAGTTAGGAAGGTATCTTTATACCAGCGAAAATCACCTAAGGTTCTACATTTAAGATTGGATAGGAGTTCAGCAGAACGATCTATCCATAAGGATGGATCACCAATGAAATGTTGGATAATGGTGAAGATTAATTGACTAACAGCATTTGGAATAGTTTTTCCATCAGAGACTATAGGAATGCCATCAGGATCAACTTTAATGGCATTAAGAACATAATTTTTTCATCTTCAGAAAGATAATTATCCCACCAACCTTTGAGTTGACCAGAGAAGCCAGAGACAATAATATTGACTATAATTGCTTCAGAACAATTATGAGAAGTTTGATAGGCAGTTGCAACCATAGTCATATGGTGCATTATATTGAGTATGTTATACTCTGATTGACCATCTATGTTCCATTCATAGACGTTGTTACCATTAAAACTTTTGAAACTTGTATTCTTTTCTTCAAGTAGAAGATCAGGAGCAGTTGCTTTTTGGTAAAAAAGTTTGGAAGGGTCTCTCCAATTATTAATACCAGTTATAGGATTAATTTTAATTTCAGATTTGTTATCTGACTCAGGAGATTCATCATAATGATTCAGAGTATTGATAGTTTTTGACCGAGTGTTATGTTTATGAGACTGTTGAGTCTCTTGATCAGAATGTTGTGGGATATCAGGAATGGTTAATATATTTAACTTCTCATCAATTTTCTTAAGAAATTCATCCTGAGACTGAGATTGAGCAGGTTTTAACTTTGCAAACTCTTTTCTAAGTTGATCATTCATTTTGAAAGGTTTGAACAAAGGTTTTTCTAAGTTTTTAGAAGAAGATGCAGAGGATGAAGGTTCAATAGTTTTGTTAAGTTTTTCACCCAAAACTTGAAGATATTTGTTGGTGTAATTAGATTGCTCAATAAGATTTTTAAAATCCATTGGAGAGATTTGTTCATTTTCATCTTTTAATTTAAAAGGTGAAGCAAGAACAGACCTACTTTTGTTATCACAAACTTTTGGGAGATAGAAAGAAGTTGTGGGAGAAAATTCAGACTTGATAATCTCTCCTTCTTTCAGGTGCCAAACAGTGATGACATTAGCAGATTGAGGAGTCTTGAATGGATAATCAATGTCCTGTTGGACAGAATAAGCTTGAAACCAATCAAAGAAAGGAATATTTAACTCTACCTTGTTAAGAAAGTTATAAAATTCTTCTTAAATTAGTTGTCTTTTAATTCCCTTATAATTTTGGAAGAACCATTCTTTTTGAGGAGACCGTTCCTCAGAATTAAAGTCTTTCCTAAGGGTTTCCTTATCTATAATGAACTTATATAACATCATAAGAATTATGCATAGAGGAATAGGTTGGAGATTGAATAGATTTTGGGGATTGGATGATATTTTGTTCATTTTCTTCTTCTTTTTGGGTATATGAAGGTTTAGGAATAGAAGAAGAAGTGTCCAAACCTTGGAGATGGAGATTGAACCTACTAAGATCTCCTTGAAAGAGCAGATTGAAAATCTTCAGAACGAAAATCTTGAGTTTGAACAGACCTGGAAGAACTTGCAGAACTGAAAGAGTTTCTTCTATCGAAGATTATTTCAATAGCACCACTTGGGAACTGCTTGATTTCTCTAAAGTTTAGAGTATCTCTAAGTTGAGCAGGTGTTGCCTTCTCAAGTCTCCATTTATCTGGTAGGACTATGTCAGTCCAACGGATGGTTTTGGGTACAGTGACATTTGCTCTAGACATGTCAGTAAGGAACAAAGTAGTTTCCCCAGTTTTCTTGGGTTTAAGAACCCTAGAGATGGAAGAATTCAATACTTTATATTGAATCCTAAAAAGCAAAGCTGCTGGAATAGATCCGGATTTCATGTCCAGACCACTTGTCTCAATGTTCAAAGTTAAGACATCCTTACGATCAGGATACCAATTGAAAAAGATTGGTCCATTGCTTAGGCTTGTTTCATCAGTTCCAAGTATAGAATCTGACTATATCATCAGAACAGTTGAAAGAAATATCCCTTTAAATAAGGAATTTGAAGAATTTTAACTCCTTTCAAAATCGTCTATACAAACTCATAAACAAAGTTATAACTATCTGCACATCGGATGTGTCCAAGTGGCTATTAAACCTCTTGGAATTGAAGGTCTAAATGCTTCTGTTCTTCTATGCCTTCGTGATACAAGGCAAAACGACTTCATTTCCCTATATATATATATATATGTATGACTTTAATGTTTCTAAAGTGAATGTAGATAAGAATGTAGATAAGTTATCTACATTCGCTTCCAAAACGACGTCGTTTTGGATTGAAAAATTGAAAAATTATAATAAAAAAGGCTATTATAACCCTGAAATAAATTTTTATTACAAAAATATCTTGATTTCCGCCTCAAAACGACGTCGTTTTGGGCTCACTGTAGATAAGTTATCTACATTGACTGTAGAAAAAGCGAACCCTATATATATATATATATATATATATATATATATATATATATATATAATTAAGTTTATCCTGCAATATGAAATACATGAGATAGAGTTATCTCGTACAACCCCAAAACGACGTTGTTTTGGGGGTTTGAGAGAAAAAAATGTAAAAATATTTTAGTAAAATTACATGATACAAAAAGAAAGTAAAATTATTAAAATACACTGTATTTTTTTTTTTTTTTCAAATACCCAAAACAAAGTCATTTTGAGATTGTATGATATAACTTTATCTCAGAAACACTATTTCATATATATATATTTGAAAAAAAATGTGTGTCCTTTTAAAGGGCATTAACTTCGATCCTTTTAAAAGTGAGATAAACATAAAGATTTGCATTGTAATTGTATTTTATTGTATTCTTGTAACTTTAAATTTGGCACAAAAAAGTACTAATGCTAAAAAAATTCACAAATCAGTAATTAAAGCGTTTTTATCATCAAAGTTCTTAAAATTTAAATTACGATAAACAGGACATATATAAAGGGAAGTAGAATAAATATTATAGTTTAGTAAACTATCATTTTCTATTTTTTCTTTATTTCTTTTATGTGATTTGTCTATGTTGGGGAAACAATGCTTGTAACGTCAGAATTGACCTAAAATTATTGGCATCCAAATCAAAATTTCCACATAAACTGAATAATAGATGCATGAGCGCGTGGGTATTTTGACCGACTTGATTTGTTGTTGAGATGTGGTATTGTATTATTATATAGCAAATGAAAAAGTATTCAAATCAGATAAATAAAATAAGCTCGCTAACCTTGTTGCCTGTGTTTTGGTTTTACCCATTCTCCCCTTTGACGTTAGAAGTTGAAGTTCTTCAACTCTTCAACGGTCAATATTCAAATTATCATTCTCATTCCTACTAAACAAAACCCATTCAATTCAATTTTGAATGCTTCTCTTCTCTTAGAATTCTTTTTAGCTTAACTACTATGTTCGAAACCCAAAAAAATAAAAGGCCTTATATATTGTATGTATGATCCAGTTGTTATTATATAAACAAACCCACTTGAAGTTGAAGATCCATAAATATTTTCATACCAACCAAGTTCCAAACTTGAAATCTCCAAATCATATCCATAGCCTTTCCTGTTTTGATCCGTGCAGATGGGTTTAGGGTGGAGAAGAAGGAAGAAGAGCCACCACAAAGCCAAGGTGGAGGAGCTGGTGACTCCTAACCAATTCCGGTGCCCAATTTCTCTCGAGTTGATGAAGGATCCTGTCACATTGTCAACTGGGATTACATATGACAGAGAAAGCATAGATAGGTGGCTTGATGATGGGAATTACAAATGCCCTGTTACCAACCAGATTGTCAACAACTTTGATCTCATTCCCAACCACACTCTCAGGATAATGATCCAAGATTGGTGTGTGGAAAATCAACAACATGGCGTTGAAAGAATCCCAACCCCAAGAATACCCATTAGCCCAATTGAGGTAGCTGATGTTCTTCTGCACGTGAAGGCCTCATCCTCAGCTACACGTCTGGATCAATACAAGTGCCTGGAATTGGTTCAGAAAATCGAGAGGTGGAGCGCTGAGAGCGAGAGAAACAGGCGATGTATAATGGAGAATGGAGCATCTTCTGCATTAGCCTCTGCCTTTGATGCATTTGCAAATGATTCCATTGAGAGGAATGTGAGTATTCTGGATCAGATTTTGTCTGCTCTCGATTCCATGTTTCCACTTCAATTGGAAGCGCGGAAATATATGGGGTCTTTGGCTTCTTTACGTTGCATGGTTTGGTTCTTGAAACACCAAGATCTCTCAGGGAAAGAGAAATCCATTGTTGCCTTGAAAGAGCTTCTTTCTTTTGGTGATCGCCAGCATGTGGAGGCGCTGGCAGAAATTGAAGGAGTCAATGAACTATTGATGGAATTACTTAACAAAAGAATTTTTAGTCCAACCATTACAAAAGCTTCGTTGGTGATTGTTTGGTACTTGGTTTCATCTTCTTCTCCTCGTGGTGAGAAGATGAAATTGCAATTTATTGAATTGGGTCTGGTTTCTGCGGTGCTGGACATTCTCATTGACTCAGAAAGAAGCTCATGTGAGAAGGCTCTGGGTATTTTTGACTCCCTCTGCAGTTGTGAAGAAGGAAGAAAAAAAGCTTATGGTAATGCTCTTACAATTCCTCTCTTGGTCAAGAAGTTATTGCGAGTTTCAGCAACGGGTTCAAATTACTCTGTTTCTGCTATTTGGAAGCTGTGCAAATTTAGAGAGAGGGACGAAGAAATGGTTTTGGTTGAGGCCCTTCAAGTTGGTGCCTTTCATAAGCTCTTGCTAATATTGCAGGTCGGCTGTGGTGATAAGACCAAGGAGAAAGCCACTGAGCTTCTCAAACTGCTCAATCCTTACAGGGCTGGTGTGGAATGCATAGACTCCGATTTCAAGAACCTCAAGAGATCAATTTAAGATTCTCTCGTTCATTTTCTACCTTGAAGTTTAATCCTGTGTGTGTATGCGTATCTTTCTTTCTTTCTTTTTGTTGGGTCTATGGGATTTAGAGAACCCATAAAGAGAGACATATAGTTAATATCAGATTATATTCTTTTTGTATATCATAATTTCTTAGAATGATTTGAATTTGTATTTCGTCTATAATATATAGCTTTACTTCATGGAAAGAATTACAGAAAGAAAAACCAGGGATGATTTAGGCTTTGTGCAAGTTAATAATGAATCAAAATATTTTACAACTGAGTACTGATTTGATGAACTAAAGTAGAACAAATCTTCTACACTTTCGTTGAGCTTGACTTCTCCCTTCAAGAAACAAACGGTTCAGCTCTTCCTTCCTCAAATTTAAAAATAATACAACCTTTACAGCTATTACATTTACAGCTCTAACAACTATATTGACTTTGTTTGAGTTTAATTGTAAAGAACCTAGGTGAGGAGCTCATTTTTAGTACTAGTATTTACTACTACTATTCACCTTCTTACACTAGTATTTAAGATAATATTTCTCTCTTTTCCATGTCATCAATCAATATTGATATTTGATTTTATTTTTTTTTTGGTGAAATGATATTTGATTTTTATTGGAGGGATGTATGAAAAAATGGGTGTCACGTTTCTATTGTAGAAATTTCCCTCTAGGTGAGACCTACTAAAGTATGATAGAGTCATTGTTATAGTAACGGATAGTTGTTAATGTAAGAGTTATATATTACTCTCTGTAGTCGGGGTCGTTTTAGTGAAATAAATTTGGTATTGCCGTTTTCAAAAACCAATATAATTGTTGTTTTTTTCAACTCTATTCTTATGAGTTATGCTCAAATGAAGTAACCCAATGGCTGTAGGTGAGTTGAAAAAGAGTGAGGAGAGAATATGAGTTTTTTTTAGAGAAACGAGAAACTTTAACTGTAATTAAATTTTTATTTAAGATTAGTTTCAGAATCGACTCAAAAAATTAAAACTTGTAAAAATACTTGATAATCAACTTGCTTTAAAGAAATAATTATGAATTATATAAAAAAAATTGAAATAAATAAGAGTTAATATAACAACATAGAGTGGAGTAATTAATTGTTAGAAACTGAATAACGGTAGTTTAATTTAAAAAAAAAAAAAATCATAGTTAAAGTTTGGTTTTGTGTTTCTTAATTCATGGATCTTGCACTACAAGGATGGTTAAAATGGATCGGAGTGAGTATTTATTTATTTAACGCTTTGTCACATGTTAAAATCTATTTCTTCTCAAAGTAACATACCTTTTGAATATAAGAATTTATAGTAAATAAGACAGTGTTCTTTAAAGTTTGCATTACTACGGTGATGAACTGAATGCAATTTGAACGGAGTTTGAGGCTCAAATATTGAAACGCAAGCTTCAAAAATTTAGGTAAATGATTCGGTAAAGACTGTGGCAGAACTTGGAATAAAACTGACGAATCAATTTCTTAGTCACGATGTCCACAATCCATATTAAATCGAAAACGTGCAATGAAAATGACCTTCCATTTGTATCTTTTTATTTTCCTTTCATTTCACGCAGTTTTCAGATAGGTTTTGAGAGAGATCCACTTAAATGCTGTCCCAACATTGCCACTGCTAACCATGTTAGTGATTAACATCAATCAGTGCATGCTCACTTCAAGAACTTAATGAGAATTTCAAGATTGGAAAATCATTCTCCGCTATTTTTTATTTTAATATATATATATATATATATATATATATATATATATATATATATATATATATATATATATTTATCTAGGGGAAACATTTTCCCTCGTTGATTTAAAAAGCAAACATTTTGTTATCAAAAAAAAAAAAAAAAAAAAGCAAACATTTTTATTAGGTGAACTTTTAGTCTATAAATAATTAACATAGACCACATATTAAATGGATTATTTAAACTGACTCAACGGGTTTAAATAAACTAACATGACTTTCCTTCTCTCCCTCCTTTCCCCTGACTTTCTCCTCCCAACTTCGTTTCCTCCGGGTATGTAATTCTCTGTGTATCAGAATGTCTAATTCACTTGCGGGGGCATTTAATAGATAATAAATTTTTTTTAATCCGGAAATCACAATTTACAATAATATGGTGGAAAAAAAAGTTTCTCGAAAATATTACTAAAAAATTATTTAATAAGCTAAAATAGTCATGAAAATATTGGGTTAATTTTTTTGATGCTATATTTGGTTAATTATAAAATATTATTGAGAATATGAATTGAGATTAATTATATTCCAAAAAAAAAAATTATCAAATATTCTCGTTACACGAGATTATCAAAATACCAATGGGTGGTATTTTACGATAGAATTCTTTTTCATAAACATGAATACCGGGAATTGGGCTTTTTCCGGAAAAAAAAAAATGACAATTCTTATACCAAACATAGATAAATCGAATTCTCATTTTCTCAAAATTTTTAAAAAAGTTCTTCTACCAAACACCACCTTTTATTATTCCTTTTACTACCAAATAGGAGTGAAGACATCGCTGTTCAGAATTTTCCCTTGTCCATTTTGGTTTTTCGTTTCATTATCGATGATTTGTACTATCATTGGTTGGTAGTGGAACTCAAGCTAACCATAACCATCTTTTGTAAAGTTGTACACAAGAGTACACGTTCTATGATATTTTGAATGGGTACGCAACTACACATTCTATGTTTAAACGTGAAAGAAATGCGTAATTCTAAAAAGCTTTTGCTCTTTCACATCAACATACACCCACAGGCCACAGCACGATTTAAGAACGTGAATAATGTGATAAACAATAGGATGAAGACCTTACGGATACGACTTACGAGAACAGTTTGGCACGCAGGATAGAAGCAAATCGGAAAATTTTGTTTAAATTCACACTGCCGAATAAGTGAAGGAATATCCCATTCACCTATAAATTTTTAATTCTCCTGTTCCAATATATATTATATCTATTTAAATTAAAAAATAAATAAATAAATAAATTGTCAAGAAAATAGGTACAAAATGACTAAAAGTTTATCCTCCGTTGACATTTTGGCAATAGCAAGAGAATGAGTTTTTTTTTTTTTAAAGTAAATAGAAAATGAGTTTTATGACTTCATAACCAAAAGAATAATTATCCACTCCGTAGTTCGAAAGTTATCTTCCTGGCTTAATATGATAATTAATTTTTACATGTCTAAAATTCTACATCGAATAATAAATGTTCAATGTTAACACCATCTAATTAAGCCTAATTGAAGGGGAAGTTTTTAGGAAAAAAATAAATAAATAAAAATCATTTTGCTTTCAATCTGTAGAGCATGGCATTTGAGTTGGTTGGGTTTCAATAATAGAGATTAAGTAAAGAATAAAGAAAACAACTTACCAAGCATCTCCGAATTTGTATCCATCAATGGCTCGCGTGATTGTGCTGTGCTGCTCCTCAATTTTAGAAGAAAAACATAACATTTATATAAAGGTTTAGACATATTTCTAGAGATGATCATCTGAAAATTCTGACGTCAAAGAATTGGAATACTATGAATGGCGAGTGAGGGGAATGAAGCCTGGTCCGAGAAACTCAATGTTTTTAATTGTCCGATGAGTGGACATCTCGAACCAGACAACATTCCCCACATCCTCATTCTCCCACACCTTTGATTATGCACAAAATCATGTATAGTACGATTTTTCCCACATGCAAAAATAAGCAGCTGGGGACAATGAATGGTTTTTCTCTGTTTTCAATCTGAAACTGGAAATTGTTGGAGTGGGATATCACTTGCTATTTATTAATGGAGTGAAAAAGAGAAGCTATCTTCATTGTTTTCTTGACTTTAGAACTCACCATGTGGCAGTTGGGGGGGCTCTCTTTGTCGTTAAGAATTTCCAACATTGAGTTACAGATTGCTTGTGGACAAGGTTAAGATATTGAAAATTGCCTCATATTCTATACCCCATATATATAACCTATCAATTTCACAATAATTACCACAACAGTAATAATATTAAATCAATTTTATTCGAGACATCACTGTAGACCTCCTTGAATTATATATATTATTATCTTTCTTTTACATTATCATTAATTGTATCGAATATTAATCTCTCAAAAAGGAAATTTCTTCTTGAATCTGAATGAGTAAAACTGGTAGCTGATGTATCATTGCTGATCTGGCATGCACATGCGGTTAGATAGTTGTAGAGGAAGAGCTTAAGTTAGTTATTAACCTAGGTTTCTGCTACAGTATTTTATTTTGTGTTTGAAATCATTTTCATCATCAGTACAATTTTGGGAATTCTCTTTTCTATATTCTAATTCATTTCCTCTCAGAAATTCATCAAGCTCGTGCATGATTTAAGTAGCATAAAATTCCTGATTAGTGCAACCGTGTTCATATGATTATGGCAATCGGATTAGAGGCGCCAATTTTTGTAGCTATTGCATTTCGTAGGTACTTAACCATGTGCACGTCTAAGATCCTAGTTTTTTTTTTTTTTTTCTAAATTTTTTTTAACATGTTTTCCTGGGGGGAAATTAATTTCAGAGGCATTGGAGCCTTTTGTCGGACAAAGCTGTATAAAGGACAATTCTCCAAATTGAATGTGTCAACTGGTGAGATTAACATTACTCGCAAATTTTGTATAGTATCATCTCTTTTAGCATAGCATAAAATACTACACGTCTGCTTTCCTAATTCTGTTTTATTTTGTGTTTGGTTTAGTCAGAAAAAATCTCTTTCTCAACCTGCTTTCAATTTTATGCACATCTAATAACTAAAAAGTCCAGTGAGAAAAATAAAAATAAAAATCATTAGAGGTTGATGAAATACTCTTTCCCTTGTTACCAGGCCCTCAAATTAACAATGGTAGCAAAAATACTTGCTTGTTTGTCCGTGTCAATGCTTGCAGACCTTCTGCTTATGAGATTTGAATATAAAATAACGATATTACCTCTATCCGTTGACATGTACCATAGTTGAAGAGGGGGTAAGGAGAAAAGAGAGGGAATGGGGATGGAAGGATGTTTACTTGCAAGTTGCAACAACAGTTTCAGTCATTTACAGGAGTCTGCCATATACGATATCAGGTTCCACCTTATATGGTCTAATATGACATACAATGTCAGTTGATTGAATATTGATAGCTTAATGGAACACCCACCCTCCTTTCCTTTTGACAGCTACTTGTTTCTGGATCTATTTTCTACACGTTCTGATCTCTGGAATAGAAAAACTTGTGGAGTGAGGAAAAGTATACTGGAACCAGCTAAAGGCAACTGTTTTTCCATTATTTGTCCCTATTGTTGTGCCTGGTCACTTGACTCACTTGGATGCCCAGAACACTTGGTTACTTTGTGCACTTTGTTCTGTGCTTCACTCACCAGAAATAGCTTCTCATCATTGCTAATCATGTCTACATAAAGAATTTTCCCACCTTGTTCTGATAAAATACAGGAAGCATTTGAAATTTCCAAATGTTTCATTGCCACCTTTACAAGCTCTTCAATGCTTTGTGGAACCCATAGGACAACTCCCTCTCTTCTATCCTCTTTGTGATCCAATGGGTGGAAAGGAAATACTGTACATCTCTTTTTGGGAATTTCCTCTGTTGATGGCAACATCAGTGTTGCTGCAATCTCGGTAAAAGTATATAATTTGTTAGAATGCTTATATGAAAAAGGAAAGGAAATAAAAATAAAATTTTTCATGAGTTTATTCACTTTGCTAGATATTTGGTATCCCCATACTTAAACTAAATACAAGATAGCGTATGTTTGGTATTGTGACATAAATGTATGGGGCTTCATAAGATTCTCGACATTCTAGGACAAAATATGCATGCTTTGAACGAATTTTAATTGCATACCAGACTTAAGAATCTTGACATCCCTCACATCCAAAATAGAGAATATCTAACATTCCCAGGTTCAAATGCCATTATACCAAACAGCTAAAGATCATAATTATATGCTCAAGAAACATAGTCGTACCTCGAGTTTCAGGAATACTAACGGATAACTCAGCCAATTGGGAAACTTTTGCAACTTCAAGCATTTTGATCATATTTCTAGTTCCGCATGTACGAGCTTCATCAAGCGGTGTATTTCCCCATCTGCCAGCAGGAAGTAGAGAAGGATTGCAATTCAATAAACAAGACAAATATGTTATTATAAAGGTGGACACATAGCAAGTTATCATGAATGTACCAAATGTATTAGCCACTTTCACTAGTGCAATCCACCTGCTTCTGCCACGTGGGAGATTCCTTTTCTCCCTCCCCCACCCCCTCCTCCCCATTCTTCACATTCTCACTCTTCTCTCGTTATCTTTCATTCCCCTTCTTCACTCAAACTTTCAACTTCTCATGCCCTCTCTTGAGTCTAGTAATGTATTTAATATTTTATTTTATTTTTATTTTTTGTAATTTCAATTAGTTATTTTTATTATTGTGTTAAGTATTGTTAAGAAGCAATTTAGTAGTTTATGTGAAGTTTGTTAATTATTAAAATTATAATAATTGTGTTAAATATTGTTAAGTAGTGATTTAGTAATGAATGTTAAGTGTGTCAGTTATTTTTGTTATATTGTTAATTATAGATAATTAGCCACTTAGATTTAACATCAAATCTATTAGTTAGTAAGATTTTATTTTTTTATTTTGTTTATTACTGGTAATAAGTGATTTATTTGTTAGTATTTCTCTGATATTAGTAAATTAGCATTTTTTTTTTATGTAGCAACATGGCATCGCCTTATTCGTCATCTTCCACTGAGCGAGTGATTAATCCCAGCTGATACAGAATGGAGAACGGAGAGCCAAATAAGGTACCTAATACTAGACGGACCATGAGAGATCATGTTCTATAGATACTGCCACGGAAGGCTCTAATCAAAATTCAATGCATTTTTTTTTTCTTTTAGAGATTTCTCCACCGAAAGCACGGCAGAATCACAAGGTCAACAAAAGATTTCCTAATACAGCTCTTTGACCAGAGCAATTCACCTGCTTCTGTCACGTAACAGACCCTTTTTTAAAATAAAATAAAATAAAATAAAATAGAATTAAGATGACATAATTTTGGATGGATCTTATCACCGGTGGACAATACTTCCACCGGTAAGCGATACCATGTTGAATAAGGAGAAAACTAGAGGCATTCGATGAAATTCGTATGTCTCAACAACAATTATATAACAAGAACTAAACCATGTGGAACTTACCCCTCGCGATATTAACATCCTATTTACAATATTTTCGACAACAACCAGAGGTCCAAAGCCATATTAAAGTCCTGTCTGCTAAGATATCCGAGTCAGGATTTGGATCATACCTGTCCTTAGATAAAACACTTGCTCCTGCTTCTAGAAGTAATTCAGCCATTGTATACAAACCTTCGGAGGCGGCTATGTGAAGAGGTGTACGCTGATCATAATTTTTGGCATTTGGATTAATTCCACAGACCAGAACCATTTTTAAAATGTCCAACTCCCGCTTTGCAACAATCATGCAGAGAAAATTTCCAGCATCATCAATAGTCAGGGTAGCTCCCGCATTAACAAGTAAAGATGCTACTTCTTCATGTCCATTCTTGATGGCATCAAGCAAGGGAGTACTCCCAAATTTATCTAAAACAAATTATTCTTTTAAATATAACACCATGTTTTGCTTCTAAGTAGCATATTCAATAAAATATTATCTGTGATTACTCAAAATGCCAGATAGGGTTTTAAAGTTCAAAAGCTAACCTGCCAAATTGATATTTACTCCTTGTTCAACAAGAAAGTGCGAAATATCTACATATCCTTTTGATGCTGAGATATGCTGTTATAACAAACATAAATATAGTTAATAAAATGCACTTTCTCACCACTGTATTTCATCATATGACTCCTGTATGCTCTCTCTAATGTTTTATTAAGAGTGAAGCAGGAGGAAAAGACAATGCCAGAACTGAAGACCTGACATTGACCTATAAATTGTAGATTAGTATTTCTTTGGTGTTACTCTTTCGATTATTAGTTCATCCATAAATTAGAAGCAATACGACGAGAGAATGGAGCAAATTTAACTCTATAATTATGTATAATGAAGAAATGGAAATTTGTTATTATCGAATTCATGGAAGAATAAGTTGGATGCACAGGGTTACCAAGGGTGATCTGCCATCATAATCAGTCTTATTGGGATCGGCCCCTGATCCGATCAAACGTTTCAAAAGGTCAAGGTGACCATCATAGGCAGCACAGTTCATCCTCATAACCAGCTCTGTTTCCTGGTTTGCAATAGTCTGGGTGAAGTCTGATTCCAAAAGCTTACGCTTAAGACTGGAGTCTTTTCCCTGTCAGCCAAGTACAACCATGAATTATAAATGTATCAAGTCAAAATTTCTGGCCAAAGGCCAAAGAAAATGGATTATGAATTTCCTTCGGCAAAAAGACCATGGACTACGATATGCTTTCTTTTTCTCTAGAACTTCCTGTGTGTCAAAAGTTATTACCATAACACCCATATAAGCACAAGTGTAATAGTGAGTATTTCAAAATGACTTGATTGCCTAAATCATCTAAAAATTGCCGATGTGAAGCAATCAACCAGTTCCCCCTCTATATCATAAGCCATCTTTGGAAGCAATGGAGTTCAGCAATCTGTTCCCTGAGACTGGTCAAACTACTGATAAAAAAATTTCTTGGACCACAGACTCCTTCCAGATCCTCAGTTTCGGTGGTAAGCCAAGGGCTTTGATGCATCTAGCATTCTACTAGGTAATGTTTTTAGTCATACATGTAATAATCAAAAGGAAGCAAGGCCAAGAAAGAAAGGGGAAACTCTTATTTTAGAAAAGAAAATCCACAGCAAACATACCTCAAGGAGATTGTTCAAGATAATACGGCCATCTACAAAGTATATCTTCAGTATTTCTGTAAAGGATTGCTTATCAAGTCGCAAAACCTTGCAAAATTCATGAGCTTGAACCATGGAAGTTTGAGGCATATTGCAAAGAAAAGAAACCTCGCCGAAGTAACTATAGGTATGCAATGTGATTGTCTCTTCTGTATCACAATCTCCCCTCCTTATCTCATGCTGTAGACAAGAAGAAAAGCTGTCAAGCCAGATATAAAAATGAGATATACTTCTCAAATATAGAAATATGAGTTAAAAGTAAAATAGTCCATCCTTAACAATGCCTTTTTTGCATATATTTGATTTAGTAAAATTAATACATCACTTCCTGGTTTTGATTATATATTTCAAGTTTTTTATCTCCTTTTTAACGTAAAATATTATGATGTGACCTTCAACTTCTTTGAAATTTGTTTGGAGTCAATTACAGTTAGGTCAGAACAGAAAGGGCAGCATTCGTGTTCCTCACTAGCGTTACATTGCCAACTCCTTTCCCAAACAGTAGACAATAGAGTAGGCAGTTTTTTCCAATAATTTACGGTTCAAAGAAGTCAACTTTAAGTTTAGAGGCCTTTTTATTCCCTAAAACTTAACCCCGTGTCATATATCTTTCCTACCGAGCATTTACCTCAAGCAGAAATACTATCATAGCATCACAACAATCTAAAACTGAAAATTTGGAGTATATTACGGATTAGTAGAATTGAAATGAGGAAGCATGAGAGAAAATAACATTGAGTTGCTCTTCTATATATATATATATAGCCATACAAATCAATGGGTTACCAGAATCCGTACCAGGTCACCATGATATACGAAGTAAAGTTGATCTGCTACATCTCCTGGCTCCATTACCAATTCCCCTGGGAGGAAAAACTCTTCGTGGACTTTGGTTGCCTATTAAAGCAGATTTTGGATTAGACAGTTTCTATGTTGTTCCTGTTACGTGTAAATGAATATAACATATCAAATACTGGTAGTTTTAAGAGAGCACATAAACTGAAATGAAATACAAGAATGACATATCAACTTTCCTCAGTGATCCACAGGCATTGATAAGACAAAATATATGCTAATTGAATTTATCTCTTTCATTATTTTCACACCAAGGTTTTGCTCAGTTGTCAATCCACTTATGCACTAAATTACACAAAATGTAAAAAGAAAAATGTAAACTTCACATTCCAATTATAGAAAGTGAGAGCATATGTCTTACAATCAGCTTAATAAACTCCGAAGAGCATCCCTTGAAAAGAGAAACTTTCTGAATGAACTGATCATACAAAATTATTGAAATCTGCAATAAGCTCTCGGGGATTAGAATTAGTGACAGGTGAATAATAATTTTTCTGTTAATTGAGCAGAGAGAAATAAACTAATAGAAATACCTTCGTGCGGACAGTGATTGGGATATCCTGAAGAACAGAAGCTTCGGTGTAGCTGCTGCGATCATACTGTAAGCGCAAATGACCTTTGATGGCATTACCTATTTGCTTGTCCAAATTGTTTTTATTGACGTACTTAATGATTTCAGCCATTTTATCCCTGAACCTCTCTGTTTTTGATCCTTTGACAATCAATGCAGTCATATTGCCAAGAAGGTAAGCGCCCAGAATCATGTCAAAGGAGACGTAGATCATGATAAATATCATTTCTCTGACATTGACTGCATGAATGTCTCCGTAGCCTACAAAATGAATGTGATATAGGCATATTTGATGGGCAGAAATGGAAAAAAGTGGGAATTAATGTATTGAGTATGTGAGTGTGACTGACCAACAGTTGCCATGGTAACAATTGCAAAGTAGAGTGATGTGACGTAACGCTTCCAAAGATTGATGTTTCTGAAGTCAGAAAAGGTGTATTCACCCATCTTCAAGCTGCCAATCCAGGTGTAAGCTTCCTTGGAGGGGGGCATGGTGGTAGCAAGATAGTAGAAGATGCAGGCAGCAGTATGAGTACAGTAAAGTTCAACAACGAGAAGTTTAACAATTCTGGTACACAGGTAATGCACTCTAATATCTTTCTCCACCCTCTCGAAAAATTCCGTTACTCTACAAGCTCGGCATAGCCTTATCCATAGCAGATATCTCACAACCTCTTTCTTCCCAGTAGCCTGCATTGTGCAGTGCAGTGCAGTTCAGTGTTACCTCTCTCTCTCTCTCTCTCTCTCAATACTCAATCAATCATAATCATATATATAAATATGTATATATATAAAAGGAAAAGGAAAAGGGGATATATATGGAATTGAATAGAATTGAATTGAACGTAACCTTGTAAATATAATCCCAGGGGAGACAACTGAGAAGATCAAGGATGAAGCGAGACTTGAGGTAACTGATAGCAATTTGATAGCGATTGTAGACGATGCAATAGGAGTGGGTGTCGCGATAGCCAACGAAAAAGCGGAGAACAATGTCGATGAGGAAAACGAACTGGCCGGCGATGTCAAGGAGGAAGATATGCTCTGGTAAGCCTCTGAAGAAACCGAACTCCATTGGGGTGAAGAACGATGAATAGACTGCCCATATCAGAATGAAATGCTTCCACAAGAGGTACAACCTGCAATCCCCCCATTTCTCAACTCTCAACCCAATCAATATACATAACATACCCTTTTCCATTTTCACTTTTTTTTTTCTTTAATGGACCATGATTTATATTTAAAATTTAATAATTATATCATTCAATTTTATTTTATTTTATTTTTTTCTAACAATATTTAGATATAATTTTAAATTTATATGCATAATTTAATTGGAAAATTGAAATTATTGAATTCTTTTAAGACAATTTTTTTATTGTTATTCATTGTTTTCTTTATTTTACAAGATGTTTTTTTTTAATTCCATCTTTTTTATATGTAAAGAAATTTCTTTAAAAATACCATACTAACTAAAATCTTTATTTTCTATTTTATCTCCTGTATAATTTTGATTTTATTATATTGTTTCACCATCAGCAATTTGTATTTAAATAATTAAAAAAATTCATATGATCTCATATCAGGAAATTTATTCCCAATATTCTTTGTAAAGCTCAATCTTTTATAAGATGACACATGGACAAACGCAACTTAATGCAACGAGACCATGTGGATGTGGCATATGAGTAGTGACACAAACTTAACCCATGTTTTATTTCCCTAAAAGCTAAAATTTAATTAAACATGATTTTATAAAAGTTGTTATTATAAAAAAAATTACAAGAAAAAAGAGAGTTAAAAGCTAAAAATTCACATGAGAACATTTTTTTAATGTATATGTCAGCTTGTTAGATTTTTCATCCTTATTTTATAATTTTAGTTTTATTTTAAATTTGTATTTATACATTTTTGTTTGAACCTAATGATTTGTTCTTTTTTTATGAGATACATGTGAAAGTAAACAAACTAACAAGACCTGGGCTAGGAGATCAAGGGCGGATTGAGTTACACATCTCAACTCACCAACCCGTCTCAACTTGTTTTGCTTGATTGTGGATCAAAATGAGTTGGCGTCGGGTCTAGCGAATTAGTCCTTGGGTCATCTTTTTTAATTATTAAGTAATATTTTATTTGTCACTAAATTTTTGTGATATAATTTTTTTTAATCTTAGTATTCTTCTAGAAAAATAAAGAAGATTATCCATATAGGCAAAAATAAGTTCCTAAAAATTGTCCGACTAATTATTAGCATACATTTAAGTTTGAGATTGGAAAAAAAAAAGTAAGGAGAATATGAAATGAAAATAAGTAATATTATAAAATGAATAAAATACAATTTGTTTTAAAATTTTAATTATTTCTTATTTTTTAGAAGGGTTTACCCGTCAACTCACCATAAAACAAGTGAGTTGGACTTTTCAAATCACATTTCAGAGACAAGACAGGACGGACCAATCCGTTTTTAGCGAGTTAACGGCGGAGCTGGTCCGTTTTGCCACCTCTACATTTGAATGGCTACCCTCATCAGATCTTTATAGACCAGCATACTGCATGGAGGATTGAAGAAAAACTGCATGTCCCAGTTCTGATGTAGTGAAATATTTACTGTACATCGTTGCACCACTTATTCGATGCACGGGCCAATTAAAATGGAACATTTTACGTATTGTGTGTACGAAAAAGAAAAAAAAATTGAATTAGGTGTCAATCTTTTAATGAAAATTATAGATACATTGTTATCAAAAAAAAAAAAAAATTATAGATACATCAGATGTACCGAAAATGTTCTTATGTAGATGCTGCTTAGCAAGCTTATTTGCTACTTTATTTCCTTCTCTAAGGACATGCTGAAACCTAATTGAAAGTATAACAGTATAACTGTTAACTGTCAATAACAAATTTTGTTTAGTTTCCATTAATTCAGGGTTATTAGTTATAACCAGCTAGTCATTGTTGCTGATGTATATATATATTGTTGAGTCTTTGTATTCATTAATCAATCAATTCATTTTCAATTCTATACCATCGAAGACTCTCTCTTTTCTCTTTTCTGTTAACTTCTGATACCTTTCATGGTATCAGAGCTCTTGATCTATGGCGACCGAAAACATAATTGCGCACTCTGCAACTGTAGCTCCAACAGCTACTGCAGCTCCAACGCTTCACACATTTTCTAATCCCGTATCCTTCAAACTCGACGAAGGAAATTTCCTTCCTTGGAAGCAACAAGCTGTTGCAACAATCAAAGGTTTTAATCTGCAAAGATTCATCAATGGAAAGGTTGATCAATCAGCTGAGCAACAAGATCAATTGCTCATGTCATGGCTATTGGCTTCGATGTCAGAGTCTTTCCATACAAGAATGGTAGGTTGCCTATCTTCTTTTCAGATATGGAATAAGCTAGAAGAATTCTTTATCTCACAGACTCGTGCAAAGGTGAAGCAACTGAAAATTCAGCTTAGGAATACCAAGAAAGATTTTTTGATTTCGAGCTACCTACGGAAGATCAAGAAAATTGTTGATTCAATGGCTGCAATAGGTTCACCAATTTCATCAGAAGAGCATATTGATGCAATTCTTGATGGTCTTGGTGAAGACTATGATCCATTCATCACATCAGTCACCTCTTGAACAGATCCATACACTGTTGGTGAGATTGAAGCCTTGTTGATGGCTCAAGAAGAGAGAATAGAGAAACACAAGAAAGGTGATCTTGGAGGTTTACAAGCAAACATGGCTCAGATGAGCTTCAGAAGAACTCAAAACTACAATCCTGGCTACAATTCTGGCAGAAACTTCAGTAGAGGAAGAGCATCATACAGTAGAGGTCGATTTGGTAGAAATGCACCAAGATCCAATACACAATTTGGTAAACCTCAATGCCAAGTGTGTGGAAAATTTGGTCACATAGGTTTTGAATGCTATAAAAGATTCAATCAATCCTATCCAAGTCCATTTCAGCAGCACAGCAAGCCAGATCATGGAGAATCTTCTGCACCTCGATTTCAGGCAAACTTCACTGAAACAAATTCTCCAATTCAAGATTACAGTTTTGGACATTTCACTGCATTTGATCCCACCTGGTATCCAGATTCAGGTGCCACCAACCACTTCACTCCAGAAGAGTCCAATCTGCTGTCAAAATCAACTTACAGAGGAAATGATACAATGCGTGTAGGTAATGGAGCAGGTATTCAAATCAAACATGTTGGTCACTCAATACTGCATTCCTCATCTAATTCATTGTCTTTCCCTTTAAACAATTTGCTTCATGTTCCTTCCTTATCAAAGAATCTTCTTAGTGTTTCACAGTTTGCTCAAGATCATGATGTGTTCTTCGAATTTCATGCTAAAATCTGCCTTGTCAAATCACAGGCCACCAAGGAGATTCTTCTCCAAGGAAAACTTAAAGATGGCCTGTATGCTTTTGAAGGAGCACAAACTGTTCAAACTCCAAAATATTCTGCTTATCAAGTTCAAACAACAGCCGAGAATGACACAAATAAATGCCAACCAATGTCAAATCTTGAACTATGGCATAATAGACTAGGACATACTTCCATTTCCACTGTAAAATCTGTTCTCACTCAATGTAAAATTCCATTTCAAAGTGTACCTAAATCTGTATCTAGCTCCTGTTGTATGGGCAAAATGCACCAGCTGCCATTTTTACCTTCAAATAATGAATACAATACTCCTTTGGAACTGGTTTATTCTGACATATGGGGACCAGCTCCAATTACTAGTATTCATGGCTCACGATATTACATTTATTTTGTGGATGCATTTAGCAGGTTCACCTGGCTCTACCCAATGCAGGTTAGGTCCCAAACAACAACCATTTTTGCCAATTTCAAAACCATGGCTGAACTTCAACATAACACAAAACTCAAGTCCTTACAAACCGATAATGCTAAAGAATACCTAGCTCTCAAACCTTTTCTCCAAACTCATGGCATTATCCATAGACTTTCCTGCCCATATGTCCACCAACAAAATGGCACTCCTGAACGCAAACATAGGCATGTTGCAGAAACAGGTTTATCTATCCTAGCTACCTCCTCCTTACCACCAAAGTTTTGGGAAGATGCCTTTATCACAACCTCATTCATCATTAACATGCTTCCTTCCCAAAGTCTAGGAAATATCTCACCCTATCAGTTACTCTTTGGAAAACAACCAAATTACAACATTTTAAAGATATTCGGATGTGACTGTTATCCCTATCTAAGACCATACACCACTCACAAGCTCGATTACAGGTCTGCACTATGCACTTTCCTTGGCTACAGTCCCTCTCACAAAGGCTACAAATGCCTTACATTAAGTGGCAAAATAGTAACCATTCCTCATGTTATTTTTGATGAAAACACATTCCCTTTCAAACACACTCACATTAATCCACCTCCAATAACTTCATCTCTTGCTTCTATAAATTATGTCCCCATAATTCCCATTGTTAGTCCATTGAGTGATTCACATGTTCCACATAATACTAACTCTATTAACTCACCTACTATACAGTCTTCTTCAAGTTCATTTTGCAGGTCTGCTCCTCATCAATCACATCCAGCATCTCCATCCAATGCTGCAGTACTCCTAGCTCCAGCACCAGCTGCTCCAGCATCTCCATCCTATGCTGCAGTACTCCTAGCTCCAGCACCAACTATAGCAGCATCTCCACCTAATCGACACTCAATGGTTACAAGAGCAAAGGCTGGAATCTTTAAGCCACGAGTCTTTACAGCATCCTTGGAACCAACTACTGCAGCACAAGCTTTAACACAGCCTCACTGGCTCAATGCTATGAAAGAAGAATATGCAGCTCTCATGAAAAACAAAACCTGGACTCTCATGAATCTTCCTACTGACAGAAAACCCATTAGATGCAAGTGGATTTTTCGAACAGAGTACAAACCCGATGGCTCAATCCTTAAATACAAAGCAAGACTGGTTGCAAAAGGATTCCACCAACGTGAAGGCTTTGACTATGCTGAAACATTTAGTCCAGTTGTTCAACCAGTCACAATTCGGATTATCCTTACACTAGCTATCTCTAAAAGCTGGTCCATTAGACAAATTGATGTTAATAATGCATTTCTCAATGGAGACTTGCATGAGGAAGTATTCATGGAACAACCTCCAGGCTTCATCTCTGGTAACTCCAATCTTGTTTGTCGATTAGATAAAGCTCTCTATGGGTTAAAACAAGCTCCAAGAGCTTGGTTTGAGAAACTAAGCACCACACTCTGTCATCTTGGATTTCATGCCACAAAATGTGATTCTTCTCTATTTGTTTCATTTCACAATTCTGCCATCACTTATGTTCTTGTTTATGTTGTTGATATACTCATCACTGGTTCCTCAACAACTGTCATTGCATCACTCATCCAATCTCTCAATGCTGCCTTTCCACTTAAAGATCTTGGAGCCCTTCACTACTTTCTGGGAATTGAAGCTAAGTCTCTGTCTAATGGATCTCTTCACTTGTCATAGTCCAAATATGTCACATATTTACTTTCTAAAGCAGGACTTGCCAGTTGTAATTCTCTGCCCACTCCAATGGTATCTAGCTCAAGGCTCTCCATACACGATGGTCTTCCCTGTGACAATCCTTCTCTTTATCGTTCTATTGTGGGAGCACTTCAGTATGTAACCATTACACGCCCAGATATCACCTTTTCAGTCAACAAAGTGTGTCAATTTATGCACAATCCATTGGATTCTCATTGGAAGGCTGTCAAGCGAATATTGCGATATCTTCATGGCACTTCTGACTTTGGTCTCACTATCAAGTCTTCTCCTCAAGCTCAGTTGGTGGCTTACTGTGATTCAGATTGGGGTTCGGATGTTGATGATAGACGCTCTACTTCTGATTTTTGTGTCTTCCTAGGGGGGATGTAGTGTCATGGTCTTTGAAGAAGCAAGCTGTTGTCAGCAGGTCGAGTACTGAGGCAGAGTACAGGTGCCTAGCAGCTGTAGTAGCTGAACTAACATGGATACAGTCTCTACTGTCTGAGTTGAAGATTGGTGTTACCAAAACTCCCCGAGTTTTCTGTGACAATCTGAGTGCAGTCTTACTCACAGCAAACCCTCTATTCCATTCTAGGACAAAACATTTTGAGCTTGATTTATACTTTGTTTGAGAGAAGATTCTGAATGGTTCCATTACTGTGCATCATATTCCCTCAGTTAATCAAATAGCAGATGGCTTGACAAAAGCTATATCCAGTTCCAACTTTATTGACTTCAGAGACAAACTCACTCTTCACTCTTCCAAGAATGAGTTTGTGGGGGGATGAAAGTATAACAGTATAACTGTTAACTGTCAATAACAGATTCTGTTTAGTTTCCATTAATTCAGGATTATTAGTTATAACCAGCTAGTCATTGTTGCTGATGTATATATATATATATATATATATATATATATATATATACTGTTGAGTCTTTGGATTCATTAATCAATCAATTCATTTTCAATTCTATACCATCGAAGACTCTCTCTTTTCTCTTTTCTGTTAACTTCTGATACCTTACACTAATGATTTGTTCTAATAATAAATTATTTCATCTTTTTCTTTTAGAATCCTGAGAATAATTTTATATAATCACTAACTATCTTTTTTTTTATTTTTTAAGTCTTTTTAATCTTAATGCAAAAATAATTTTTAATTTAAAAATTCATTCCAAACAAACTTTAATTTTAGAGGCCAAGATGACCTTGGTTCGGTGAAAAAGCCCGTAATAACAAAACAAGACAAAGTAATAAGGGGACCCGCAAGGGGACAAACAAAAATGAAATTCATATATATGTTGGAAAAACTCACAAAACACATGTACTCTATCCTAAACTCCTATGGCTGCGGTGGAGAACAGCTGGTCTGTCTTAGTCTGGTGTTGTGTTGTGTCAATTCATGTATACTATGGCGGTTTATCGGTGACGATAAGATTGATAGAAAAAGTTAGCAGCTATATTAATATATACTTACCGGTTATCAGGATGAATCACAAATTGCCGCCATAGATCAGGAGGCCTTCCTCCGCATGTGGTGGAACTAGCTTCGGGGTCGCCGTAACATGCCACCATCCGACGCCCCAAGCTTTTCCACGTCGCCTCAGAATTATCGCTCTCCCCTCTCCTCCTCCTCCCTCTTCCGTCATCGCCATGCATGGTGTGGTGGTCTTTGGCCACCCTCCACTACTAATTATAATTTAACAGAAAACTAAACGTAACGGCGCGCGATGTATATATGTGCACACAGTACAACAAGAAGCTCTTCAGTTGAAAACTACCGTTAAATAAAGAAATGGTTTAAATTACATATAAGCTGCGAAGAGGTGAGGCTTTCACCTCACCTTCACGGACTGCCATCACTGATCACTTCGCTTTTTTATTTTGGACGCTACCTACCAATCAGAACCTTTAACAGTGTGAGTTTAGCGGTGATAAATTAAACAGAATCCTAAAAATGAATTTGAATTTGAAATTACATCATTAACATGAACTCCCATGCGACTTTAATCATTCGGTTCCCTTCAATTACCAAAACTTTTATGCTATCTAGGTCACACGATATACCGAGAGTTTTTCTGATTTGATATTTAATTAAAACTTAAATAGAGGTTATAAATAATTAATGTTAATACTTTCAAAAAAAATAGGGTGAAGAACTTTGAAAAACAAAAAAGCGTACAAAACAAACGCATATACTTATAAATAAACATTTTTTGGATAAATATACTTACAAATATTTAATAATCATTTGGCACAACCATATACAATCACGGGTGGACTCAGGGGTGCTAGGGTAGGCTGCCGCAAAGAGTTTATATAGCTTCTTTATATTCTCAGATCTTATATCTATTGAAACTCCTCTAACTCATTGCAGTTTTAACTTGTATTATGCTTAGATGTTAGCACAAATCTCCCCATCCATGAATAAAAATAAGACGTCTGAGAGTCTTACAAAAGAATGAACCTTATTCTTTCAATCTCTCTTTTTTTCTGATGATTCGTGACAGAGAGGGAAGTGAGGGGCAGAAGGATTTTGGTGATTGTGCTTCTTGCCGATCTGTCTCTTCTAATCTATCTTTGGCTTTTTTTTTTTCTTGTTGGACTAACAGTGAGTGAATAAAAAAAGAGGTTAAGACATGAGAGGAGTCTGCTTTGAATTATCTATTTAGATTATAGTAATTAGTACATATTTTTTGTAAAATCTAAACATTTGCTCTCTTATCTTTTTTTTTTGTTTTCTTTGCATAAAAAATGTTCATTCTAGGGGTTGAAAAGATATAGTTTTTTTTCAAATTGATAGTAGATTTTACGGTGACATCTTCCACCTGTCTCTGTCTCCTTCTTTCTCTCTATAACAAGTTAAAAGAGGTACTTACGAGTTATATTCTCTGGATTGGGGTTTTGGCCTCCCACATATTGTGGTTGAAAAGAGAAACAAATATTTAATTTTTCGTATTTTGGCCTCTGATATATTATATTTGAAGAGAGAAACATATGTTTAAATTTTAGCCCCCCACAAAAAAAATTCCTGGGTCCGCTACTGTATACAATCACTTTATTACAAATGAGTTTGGTTAACCATTTATTTTATTTTATATTATGACATATTTTTGCTACTTGTTAAATATTTATTAAATATTAGTTATATTTTATGAACTTCAAATATTTAGTGAGAAAAAACAACGAATAATAAAAAATTAATAAATTATTCAAAATACTAATACTCTAAGGGGGCGTTTGGTACACGGTTTTTTCCGGGATTCTCGAGAAACTGAATTTTTCTAAATTTTAAATTTGCGTATATTATCGTAAACTGAATGTAAAAATCATATTTCTGAAAATCGGAATTCCCAGATAAAAAGAAATTTATCCTCCACCAAACACCCTCTAAAGAAACCAATATAGGATAGCAACTCCCTGCTTATCTATTATGAATTATGACACACTACTGATATGTGCGCCTAATCTTTGTAGATGTATTTTTTTTCATAAAAAAATTTGGACGTGATATATGCAATTTTTTATTCGACGATCACAACATTACAATAGCGAAATGGGAAATACTAAACAGGCATTCTCTGTTCAATCCACCGGTAATTAAACTTATATTTTATTATAATATTCAGAATATAATTTCATTTTATCTTTATAATACTTTGGCAATTTTATAGATCGAATTGGACCAATTTTTCTTTTTCTTTTTTTGCGGAGGAAATATTCTTCAAGACTTGACCGTAAACATGTGAGCGTTACTTTGAATTCAATTCCAATTGTTATAATGTTATGTCACTTTAAGGAAAAAATAGTGCAGTACGAATCTGCGCTCGAATATATATATATAGCACTGGTTTGTGAAATATTCCGTTTTAGTTAAAACTATAATTTCAAATAAGCCGGAAAGCCCGTGTGCATTCTTACACCCTCTAATGGCATGTTTCATCCTATAAATAGTCTTTTTTTATTTTATAATCCAAATCTGCTAAAGATATTTGATGTCGTCAAGTATCAATAGTTCCTGGGCTCCCAAATCCTTCTTTGATTATTTAAGTTGTTATTTTAATTATTTTACCCGTTCGTTAAGTAATTAATTTGGTTCTTTTTAGTTTTAACGAAAGTGATTGCGGGTCGTAGTTAACTTTCCTTATTCATTTGACCCAATTACGGATGAGGGGGTTTCGTTTTGTATAAAATATTGTTGCGTTTTGAATTGTAAAATTAAGGTTCAGAACGACCTTGGGATACCGGAAACAGGTAACGGAATTTTTTTAATTATTATTTTCTAAAATAAAAAGTAGTAAAGAAAAGGATCTCAAAACATACATAAACCTCTTTGAGTGTAAGTGTGTGCAAATACACACACAAATTTTTTGGAAAAATAAAATAAAATATATTTTGGATCATCAACAAAAATTACAGATCTTATTTAATTTCTGAAAAAAAAAAGTCGACTCGTTAAATTTCAAAATAGACCCATGTTAGTTCTTTTGAGGAATTAATGTAGGTCTTTTTGAATTTCAGAAGACCATGATTTTGATTACCTGGGTCTATTTTTGAATTTTGAGGGATCACAAGTAGACTTTTTTTTCCTAAAAAATTAAATTGAGGCCCGTAATTTTTATTGAAGACCCAAGATGTTCTATTGTAACAGTTTAGTTGACTCTTGATTACTTTTTTTATATTAAGTTAAATTTTTTTTTTATATATTCTTATGTATTTTAATATATTTAAGATTTTCTTTAATTTTTTTTTCTTTTATTCTTTTATTCTAAGTGTGGTTTGAACAATTTTATGTTTCTTGAAATTGCAAAATAGAAAGAAAAAAAATAAAAAGATAAAATACAAGTTACAATATTGATGAACGGGCTTGTCCTAGAACCCGGTTAAGAGCCTATTTGTTTCGTCTTCTTAAAAAAAGTAATTTTTATTTCTTTCTTATTTTAGAAGTGTTTTTTATAAAAATTAAAGCTATTTATATTTTTATAAAAATATTCAGTTTTTGAAAAAAAATATTTGACTTTTGACTTCTGCTTTTCTTAGAAGTTACAATTTTTAGCTTCTAAAAAAGTAGATTTTTGACTTTTTTGTGACTTCTGTTTTTTTTAAAGCAGACATCTAAACAAACTAAAAATAAGAAGTGCTTTTTTTTAAGAAAAAAAAAGTAGATTTTGGAGAGAAAAAAGCTTATCCAAACGAGTTCTCCAACTCTTGTACAAGTTATTAATTTTTTAAATTGAATTAAATTTGGTCTATTGTGAATTTGTGAACCAGCTTATATTTGGCACAACTCACAGCTCAACCTGAATTAACATTTTTAAGTAGCGGTGAAAAAATTTTATTTACACAATTGATGCTTTGGTGGTGGGAAAGAGATAGCATCATTACCTGATTAGTTACTGTTAGATCAATTTGAAATTAACAATAGTAAATTTTTTTTATTTTTCAACTGTTGATTTTAAATTGATCTGTAATCAATTAAATAATAAAAATAATAAAACTAAAATAATAATAAATATAACCGCTCCGTAAGAAAATGATAAGGAAGCTTACATTATATTTAAGCTTACATTATATTTTTTTCACACCAAACATTAACTGACACTATATATAAATTAAATTTTAAATTTTTTTATTAAATACGCTTGACGTAGCTCAATTTGGGCCAATTGGAATTTTTAAGTTGGGTTAAGCTAAAGGAAGGTGGGCTATTATTATTATTTTATAGGTTAAAAAACATGAGTTGACCCAAAAATATTTTTAGAGGCTGAATAGGTGGATCCGATGGGTTGAAAATAAAGGACTTGAATAGCCAAGGCTCTCTTGGGTGCAATCGTGTTCCGAGGAAGGTGGTTGAGATTTTGGGTTTGTGGGGTGTATTTCATATTTTGTGGGCCATCAATCTTATTCTCTCATGGTTTGCAGAAACTCATTGGACTCGTTGGTTGCTTTATTTCTTGTGAAGAAGGCTACACAGCTTTCCACTTGTATGCATCCTTGATTCGATATATTCAGCAACTTATTCATAAAGATTGAGCAATTATTACAACTTCTTCAACAAAGATTGAGCAATATGTGGTATATTCAGCAATTAGATTCTGTCAGATAACCTAAGGACATAAATGAGCAGTCCACCATCTAATTTAGATAATTCCAACTCTCAGAGGGCGAGGGCGTTTGGTAAGAAAGATATTTGGTAGAGGAAAAAAAAAATTATCTAAGAATTATGATTTCTTGAAAAAGAGCGGAAAAATGACTTTTATGAAAATGTGATCAAAAAATTATTTGGTATATCAAAATTATACTAAAAAATTTGGATTAATTTTTCTGAATCAATGTTTAATGTTTAGTTCATAGTAAAATATTATTGAAAAAATGGACTGATATTACAAATGATATCCTCAATTTTAAATAATCCACTTTCAAAGTTTTTTCGCCCTCAACTCTGTCTCTCTCTCAAATTGATTTTCAGTCTCTCTCTCAAATTGATTTTCAGTCTCTCTCAAATTTGGGTTAATTCATGTTTCATTTTCGCTGCACTTGTGCTTCACATGGAGTTTCAGATTCTGAAACTCGTTTCTTGTCCATTGCTACACCCTATCGTCATAAGCATCATTATACCCTCCTCCTCCTCTATTCCTATTGTTAGATTTGCAAATGTTGAAAACAAACCTGAAAGATAAAAGACTTCCTTTGCCTCTTGCTTATTGTAAACATGAATGAATATTATAACCCGAAGAAGATGAACAGTATTTGCAGTGCAGTAAACAAACGACAACCTCCTCCTCAACAAAGGGTAAAAAAGTCCCAAAAAAAGATATTAAATT